TAGGATACCCGTTATGATGTGCAGACACACTAACCTGTCAGAAAAAACTGGCACCGTTCTGAAGTTGTCATAAATTTCTGCTAATATGATCAGATACCTAACCGGTTCGAAATATTTTTAACAGTAAATGAAACGTAAATAACATGTTGGATTTATTTCTGTGAGGATAACTGCTATTTAACTTAACTAGGGGTGGAATTTCTTCTTTTACTTAAGTAAACATGGTACAAATTTCTTCATGTTGACTATCATTTGGTAATATTTTGCCTTTGAGAATATCGTGCAAACATTACGAAATTCACCTAAATTATTCAACAAACAAATCAGATTCATGAGAGACCGAGAGTACATTAAATGCATATAACCTTATCGCTTTACCTTCCCTCAATTATTACATTGAAATTGATCGGCAGACACCTTATGGTGCTTCTTCAAGTCATTTAACAAACACGAATTGGAGCACATCTATTTCCGACGAACCTGATGTTATAGAAGTGGTTGAATAGCAATTAAATTGATTCAGCTGTATGAGATCAGGTCCTCGAGGAGTGATTCGTTATATGAAATGATTATGGCGTATTGCCTAATATTCTGACATTTTATGATTCGATCGAAGAATGTCCGGAATTTCTATTTTCATGTGAACTGAATTTTTGAGACTAGACTTCTGAATGCCAGCAATATATTACAAGTCTGCTATTATTCAGATAGTAAAGGAAGTAAAAACAATTTTTGGCAGTCGCATCGTAATGAGTGGTAACTGACAAAGAATATTGGATCAGTAGTAAGTTATAGGGTGAAATGTGTTCAGTCAAGTCGCTATGATAACTGTGAAGGTCTGTCATGAAACATGAAATTATCGTATAATAAATCAGTGCTATCTGAAGACTGACAGAACTCGCGATATCCTATATTAGACATTATCTTTGGGAGGATGATAGTATGGTGCAAGCGAGGAAGAATGATGAAGGCATCATTGTTGTTCATACGCAAAAAATGCACGATAAATTTTGCATTATGCTATCTTCCACTTGAGGAGAGGTTGATGTTAGGATTTTATCAAACTCTTTCTAGGCTAAATTCCAAATTTGTCTAATAACATAAAAATAAACCACAATCCTGCTGTTCTGGGGTAAACTAAAACGAACGTTAACTCGCCTGAAAACAGTTCTTCAATTTAGATTAAAAATGAAGATCGCTCTGATCAACATCTGTTGCACACACTAACGTCCCTTCTATCCAGTAAAACTTGGTTCATGCATTCGGCACTTATTACCAAACAAAATACCAAATATTCTATATTGGCTGGTGTATCTAGATGAACTGCATATAAAAATTTGCAATTCGCAAATTTGGTGACACAGCATATAAAAAGTATCGACTCTTTAAGCCTCATTAATGAAGAAAATGGAAACTCTAGCTAACAATATGTTGTGAGATGAATTCACGCATTGCAAATATTAAAATACCACGGAGTCGCTTCTTTCACAATCTCCTACGCAGGTAGGATCAATCAGGTGACTTTACAGCGCCATGTAACCAGGATCAACGTGATAACGTTAAATCTCACTTCAGAGCTCACCGAGTTACACTATCAGAGGAAAACCTAATCGCACGAAAATACAGCACCATGATTTACGTTCACTGCAACTGAAAGCGATTTATGAGATCGCCATATCGATGGAAGTTGACATTTGCACGTACAGCCGCTATGATCGATGTACATAATAGAAGCTTCTGTTAGATGATGACCGCGTGGTGGTACAATAGGTGGATACATATATGAACAACCCGTATGCGCAGAACCGCCAATATATAGTGCTTAAAAGATCAATTAACTTTCTTGATTGTATACTTCGGTTCAGAGCTGTTTCCTCTCACTGACAGTAACCAGTTAGCAGTCGAAGTTTTTCGATGGACGAAAAATCGCATGTTACTGTTAGTCAGTGAGGCAAGGACCACTCGACCTCGCAGCTGATCACTCGTAAATAAAAATGATGCGGAACGGTTATGAACGTCCCTTTAAGAACCCGGCTTAATGCTCTGGTTCGAACAGCAACGCGTCTGAAAAAACCGTATTTCGCATATCAACGTATGAACTTACCGGACCGCATGGTGAGTGACAGACATTAGCAGTGTCGTAGCACAATTGCGAATGCCGGTATCTGGCTTCGGGCTTAGAACCACTCCAGTCGTACAGTTCTGAGTTTACCCTGGCACTTCCGCAACGTTGCCTGGGCTTCCTGCATGAGTCGCAAAGCTTGTCGTCGCCCTTCTCGCTTGTCGTGTTCCCATCGAATGAATACAGTGAATGGACACTGCTTACAGAATTCCGCCGATCGCAACCCGCAAAGCGCAGGTCCCAATCTGAATACGGTCTACTGAAAAAGGGCGATATGCATTTCTATTCGGTTTCCAAACAACACCGCGCTCGTACATTATGAATGCATTTGGAGGCATTTCTTTGAACGGCTTATGCATCATCGACCAA